ACTAAAAGCAAAAGCTAAAAAAACAACTTTTTTTAGTAGAGAAGATACCCAGACAAAAACTCCAATCAGAATTATCAAGAAGGACATGTACGGTCCTCAATAAACTCAAAAACAAACACAAACCCGCCCACAAAAAAAAAAACCTAAAAGCCATAACCAAACATAAAAACTGAAAAGGGAACAAACCCATCAAAATTCAACCGCAACTAAACAAATCAGATCCAAAAAAAATCCACGAATCTCAACAGTCGCCGAAGAAAAAAAGAACTTGCAATTTTTTTCAAAGGGGCAAGGAAAGAGAGAGAGAGGAACCTGGTGTGAGAGGAAGAAGAGAGGAGGAGTTCGTCGAAGAAGTGGCTGAGCTCAGCTACCGTGGACCCCGGAGACCGCTGCTTTGGTCGAAATTAAACCCTTTTTTTGGTTGCTTTGTTTTGTTTTTGTTATGTCTTTTCAAATATCAAACAAAACAACAACAATTGAAACCAATTGAGACTATTTTAAGTTTAGGTTTAATTGCATATATAGTCCTTATTTTATAGTTTTTTTAATTTTGGTCCACCAAATTTTAAATTTATGTAATTAGTCCAATATCAACTTTTTAGTTGGAAAATTTACAATTTTTTTTGTTTGGAAATAACGATTATATATAACCAAAAAAGAGACAAATACAAACGCGACCTCTAGGGTTCAGCGAGGAACCAACAAAAATCATAGGCCCAACAAACAATCCTATGGCAATATGAGCTGGGTTATCTTAACTCTATATTTGGGAAACACCCACTTTCTATTGACAGTATTATCTATAATACTCTTTATCATATCTTTATCCCCATTCTCATTCCTATACACTATATCTTTTCTTTCCCCCCACACTTCATAAATTGTCTCCGTTATAGCTATCTTGACAATGGTTGCGCCAATTTCTACTCTTGCATATCTTTGTTAGCCAAACAAGCTCTTGATTCTCCTCTTGTATATTGTGATTTATATTCAACCAATTGAGAACTTATTTCCAAATCCTGTTGGTGAATATGCACCCAAATAGAAGATGATTGATATTTTCCTCACATCTACAAAACAAGTAAGCATGGTCTGTTAATATACTAATGTTTCCCAACATATCTTTTGTAGCAAGTCTCTTATTACAAGCAAGCCACAACATGAAAACAGCCATTGGCTTAGCTTTGTTATTACTCACGATGTCGCCCCACTCAACTTTAGGCACGTGCTGCAGAAAATCTAAGTATAAACTTTTCATCCTAAATTTCTCAGCACCCTACATTTATTGCCACTGCATCCTAGAGCTAACTTCAGACCTCATTATTAGGATGCTTCTAATGATCCAAGACTCATTCTCTTTGCTATCCATCGTCATCAGATATGCACTCTTTACATAATAAGCGTGTATCCAACGAACCCACATACTACCATATTTTTTACAAAGGTTCCAAAGCAACTTAGCCGAACAGACCTTGTTCCAAACCTGGAAATTTATGATCCTTATCCCACCCTTTTTCTTCGGCAGACAAGCTTTATCCCAAGCAATAGGAGACTTATGGGTAATGACGACTTTTCCAGACCAAACAAAGGATCTATATATGGCATCTAATCTTTTAATAACTCCTTTTGGAAGAGGCGAACAACTCATCCAATAGTTTGCACAACCAAACACAACATTGTTGATCAATTGTACCCTTCCTGCGTAACTGAGCAAATGGGAGTTCCAATGATTCATCTTGTTGCCAATTTTTTCTACTAATTCCATGCGTTGCTGATTCGAGAGTTTTCTGCATGTTAAAGGGATGCCAAGGTATCTGAAAGGGAGATTTCCTCTGCAAAAGCTAGTGATTTGCTCATTTTCTATTTGATCACTCCCAAACATGCCACCACAATAAAGATAACACTTTATCGGGTTCACTTTCAGCCTTGTGGACAGAGAAAAATAGTGAAGGTATCCATCAACGTCTTAGTAGGAATATTATCTCCTCTTGAGAACAGTAATAAATCATCTGCAAAACTAAGATCAACCAGCTCCAGCTTTTCACACTTGTTATGATAATTGAAATTAGGCTGCTTGTTCAATCCCTTCAACATCCTATGGAGATACTTCATTATAATAACAAATAGAAGGGGAGAGATAAGGTCTCCTTGTCTCAACCCCCTAGCTACCTTCTGATAAGTGCAAATTGTAGCTATTTTTGTATATACTTTTTGTTGCATTTATTGACTCTTTATTGTTAATATCGTTGAATAAACTTGACTTTTGTGTAAATACGTTTAGTTTATGTTTATTTGTGTTTTTGTGTACATAGTATACCGTTTGATGTTTTCCCATTCATTTTGTAGGTATTTGTTGCATTTTGGAGCATCGAGGAATATGGTGTTGAAGGCACGACTCCGGATGCGCGTTTTCGGAATAAAAGACCAGTTTTAGGAAGTTTTGCCTAGGAGAGCCCGCTTAGCACGCAAAAGGCCGCTAAGCGCGAGTGCGCTCAGTGCATTTTGTAGCGCGCTGCTTGCATTTTGACATTTTGGCAGAACCAAAGTTTTGAAGCGAGCTTAGCGCGGATAGCGCGCTTAGTACGGTTTAGGTCAGTTTTATGTGTAAAATAAAGAAGTCGCGCTTAGCGCTCCAGGACCTCTTAGCGCGTTCTGCTAAGATTTATTTTATAACTTCATTTCATTCATTTTTTTAGTTATGGTTTTGGGGAAGTTTTTTTCTCCCAACTCCATAAACCTTCATTTTTGTTAGATTAGCTTAGAAAACAACACTAGGGCTTTACTTACGGATGATTGGAGGTGGATTTCTCATCGACTGGCGCTGACAAACTGGAAGATTTATGGTTTATCTCTTCTCCTCTCTTTGTATTTCTCTTTTGTTAGGTATTGTATGTATATTTTCTTTGAACTCGTGTATATTTGTCGCCCTTGGCGTTATATAAAACTTGCTTTACAAATCTTTGTCGATTGTTATCCTTGATTTTTGCTCTGTGCTAGGGATTTGAGTTGCTATAGACATATACGACTTAAATTCTTATCTAGGATGATTATCTAAAAGTTTCTGAATTCTAGAGATAGATTTAGCACTGTTATTCACTTAGGGTGTCTATGATTAATGCCTTTGTGTTATTTGTATCGCTCTAAGAGATCGTTGATGCAAGCGAGCATGATTGACTTCTATGTTATTGAGGTGGTTGAGAGATCGCTACCGAGGTGATGCAGACGGCCTCTCAATTTGTGAGTGACACGTGATGACATTGATGAATATTGTAGGTTTAGTATAACAGGTCGATATGTTTAAGTCTGTGAGAAGTAGTATATATGCATGCTTAATAAGTTATTCCTTTTTCCTTTTTATACATTTATTTTTTGTTGATAATTTTCCTTTCAATCCATTTATCCCCAAACTCATTAACAAGAGATTTATCAAACGGAATTTCAATTCACCAATCTCTGTGGACACGATACGATATAACCTAAATATCACCTAGTAAATTACTAACTTACTTTTTACTTGTCACTTTACCGCCGTAACACCTTCATACTCTTGGAAATCACACCATTAATGTTGAATTGATAAGTCACAGTGGAAATTTCCTGCAGTGATATAGTGGGAGAACTGACTTGGGGGTTTTACGTTTTATTGCAAATATTTCGGTTAGCAAAAGTCACCACCGACTTTTTTTTATCCAAAAGGAAAGGCAGAAAAGAACAAGAAAGACCTTTGAGATTGTTTCTTGAGTTCGGGGGGTAGATTATGAAAAGGGAAGGTGTTAGCACCATTTTCATCCATAGTTATCTATGGGCTCTTAGTTGCTTGCTATATCACTTGCTTTTGTTTCAAAATGTGCTTTGTGTGGGTTTTTTAAATTATTTGGGAAAAGGCGCCATCTTTTAGGCAAACTTTGTAATATTTTCTCGTTCGTAAGAACGTATACAAAGTGTTGAGCTTTTGAAAATGTTTCAAGTTTGGAATATGTTTTGAAAGTGTTGGTGTTTGTTTTGAAAATAAGCAAGAGTGTTTGATTTGAAATTGAGCAAGCAACTAGGAACAATCTACCTACTCAAAAGTCTTAGTTCATTTCTTCCTTTCCTTTGATATTGCTATCTTACCATTAATTTGGTAAGAAGCCCTACCTTTGGATGTAAAGGGACGGGTGTGGGTCATCGTATAGCCATGATAGTAATGTTGTGGAATATCTTAGCAATTCTCTTTGAGGGACTAAGATCATTTTGAAAAGAAACATTTGATAGCGTCATCGAGGGACTATGATCTTGTATTTTTAATTGCTTTTTGCTAAGATACTCCACATGCATAACACGACCATTTTTGTAAGGCAGCAAAGTGGAATTACCCTAAGGGTGTAAGTATGCAAGTGTGTTGATTTATATGCATTATTTTGTCTTGATTTAGGGTTTGCTAATTTGTTGATTTTATCTTTTCATACAAACCCTAATTTACTAGCATTTATATATAAAGAATTAAATTGCGGAAAATAAAAATACTAAGCTATTACATCATTAGGGGAGGGGGTGTACAAATTTACAAATGGGGAATTTGCAAGAAAATTAAATCTAATTAACTATTACAACCATATTGAATATTGTACAAAATTGAAGATAAAATGCAAGAATGCAAAAGGAAAAAAAAACATGATTTTTATTTGATTTTATGAAAGGTTTTAATATTGACCTAATTAAGAAAATAATGAATGGAAATTAACTAAAATTAACTTAAAATAATTAAGGAAAAATAATTTAAAATGATTTTTAGGGTTTTTTTTATGAAAATGTTTTAAATAATAAAAGTAACATGAGAATTGACTAATTAAAAAGAAACATAAGTTCTAAATTAATTTTAATTTACAAGAAATAATGCAATAATTAACCTAAGTCTAAACATTAATTATTATTAAAAAAAAGAATTGATTTGTTAAAAGAAAATATTTTGGTCATTTGTTTTATGAAGAAAAATATTAATGAACATTTTAAATATGTAAATAAATAAATAAAATATATTTTTGGATTTTTATTAATAAAAATAATAATGATAATAATCGTAATAATAATAATAATAATAATATGAAACTAAAATAAAGAAAAGAAAATGAAATAATAAAAATAAAAAAGAAAGGGCCGGGATGTATGAAACATAATCAGGGGGCAAGTCAGCAAAATAAATGCCCAAAAGAAGGAAAGCCCAGCACCAGTTGCAAACAAAAAAAGGAGAGAAAACAGAAAATATGAAGAAAAAAATGGCAAAACGGACGCTGGGACTTGAACCTAGGTCCTAAGGGTGAAAGACACGTGCTTTAACCACTGGGGTGGTGATACATCCATTAACTTGTACACAATAATAAATATATAACACAAGTTTTGCCCTGATTGTACTTCATCTTCAACCTCCAGCCAAAGGATTTATAACTTATTCATTTCTCAACCATTTTCAAAAGTGTAAACATGAAACTTGTGTATTTTTCCACTAGGAATCCAACCATGTAACTAACTTAAGCTAACATTTAAATATAAGGATGAATTTATGAAAGTACCAAATTCTGACCTAAATATTTTCATAGGTTCAAACTCAAAATTCTCCCTACTCAAGTAACATAAATGAAATCTATGGACATGTATAGTTTCAGGGAAATGGTGTCTATATTTTATCTTCACAAATGCAAGCCTAACAATACCTAAATAATGAAATAGAAGTTCAAGAAAAATACCTCAAAACTGTAAATTGTGAAATGAGTTTGAGCCTGTTTCAAGTGATGGCGATGATCAGATTAGCTTTCTTGAACCTCTAGGAAGCTAATGCAATAGCTGGCTTGAATTGGGAGTGGCTGGAATGGTCTGAAGAAGTCCAATTGTAATGCTTTGTTTTTGAACTTGGAAGTTAGTGAAGATGGTGTTACAGTCTGCAAACAGGGACATGGATGGTTTGTATTTGATATGAGGAAGCTTTTGAAACTAAAAAGCCAAGAAACGCACGAGGGAAATGGAAGTTTGAAGTTCTTGGTCAGAATGTGCAACAATGGTGGTTTTTGATGCAGTTCTGAGTTTGAGGTAGTTTGAGAGCTTGTGTATTCGTGTCTTTGCTTGCAAACAACTTGTATAATTATATGGAAAAGGTTAGAGCACTTGAGGTGGTCAAAAGCACAAGATATAGAGTTATGGCTATGTTACTTGATTTTGAAGAAAAGTGAAAACATGGTTTCAAGGCATAGTACAAGCATGGCCTGAGTTTATGGGAGGCTCTAG